ACTCCCATATCTATTTAGACACACACACACACACACACGCGCGCACCAAAGGGATAAAACAAATGAAAGGGCCAATGGCAGGCTCCTTTTTCGCGTCAATGGCATGTCAACCGCAGTTTTTTTTTTTACGAGGCTGGGCCTATCACTATGCAAGTTACGCATGTCGAACAAGCTGAATTGAGATTATGATGAAGTCGAGTGAAGTTTCTTAGGCTTGTGGGTTCATACCTATGAAGTGACATAACAACCATGTCTATGGGTACTCTATCACTCGCATGCGCGTACGTCATCTACATGCATATATGTAAATACTACGTATACATATTCATAGAGTTAGACAGACTTATACATGTATACACATATGTACAGACAAGCAGAAAGCTATGTCTATATATATATATGCATATAAAGATGTACATACATACATACATATTTACACGAATATGCGCACCTGAAAACATTTATGTATTCATGCTCGCGCGCGCTGGCAAGGTCGCCCGTTGAAGGGTTTGAAGTTTGCTGTCCATTAGTCCATTTTCTCGTTTGGAATCTTTGGGCACAGGGCCTAATGTCTCCCTCAGGTTCGGAGCTTTTGCGAACATCCCCTGACACGGACTCACTTCCGAGGCTTAGATTCACACCCATCATCTCACATTCGGGTTTTGCGTATAGACATGTTCTATGGAGAGCCCATATAGATTGGAACTCGCACATGCAAACTGATGCATCATGTCACCCGTGTGTCAATGGGCCTCTGCACCCAATGCACGCGTCTAGATCTTTTGCATCCCCTGCAACGAACCACGTTGCTGTACAGCGCAAACCCAACCAAACTCAATGGAAGTTAACCTGGCCCCTAAACGTAGCCCTTATCCTGAAACCCTCGTCCCTACAGTAAACTCCAGAAAGTTGGAACATCACTATCCTTATTCCCTTTTCCTCAAGGAAAAGGATTTTCATCAGTAATCACCCTGAACCAATGTTCCAACTTTCTGGGCTTCACCAAAAGCCCTAAACCATAACGAAACCTAAAGCATCATGAACAAAACCCTTCATCATCTGCCTGCAGGCCGCGGTCAAGCAGGTGGAAGCACCATTTGCCCCATTCTGCAGACTTGGGAGGGTATGGAGATCAGAATTGCAAGAAACCAGATCGATTCCCAGGACCTTGAACCCTCGACATTAGCACACCCGCAGACACAACTGGGACATTCTTGACATACTCTTTCAAGTCTACATCGAAATCTTGCATGCCGTTAACAAGAACAGAGAGGAGCGAGGTGAAACCCGACCAGGGCATTGGCACAAAGCACACGAAACTGGGTCATTTTGTGAAGGGGCTTAAGCATGAATGACCGCAATATGAGAGTATGGTCAGCAGTAGGGTGCTCGGGAGGAAACCTTAACTACAAGAATAACATCGAAAAGCCACAAGTCGGCATGACAATCGCGAATGCAAAGCTGTGAACGTCAGAGGCTCTACACAAATTACCTTCTTACAGGATACGTCTACGTAACATGGGACTCTTAGGCGTTCTGGCCAGGGTGGCTATAATTAGCAATAGGAATGCCATACGGACGGCGAGACCAAGAGTTCGGAGAAGACCAAGTCTTAAAACGTGCTACGTCTGGGATAACACAGGGTTCTTATGATTGAAACAGTAGAACATAGGGCCAGGTATGGCTTCTTCTAGACGCGGCAGTACTGCTACGGTTCAAGTGCCCGGACTTTTCATGCCAACATGCTGGCATGACTTGCGCAAACTCGAAGACCATGATTCCAAGGTAAGGTCATGCAGGATGTTGACATCCAGCATAGGTAGCTGCGAAGATTACGCCGTGTGAGTCCAAGTCTTATATGAGCCATTGTCAGCTGTAGTCCCCCTTTGAAGTCAGGCTGAAGGCCATATCCGGCAATAAACCCTAAAGTTTGGGGATTTGGGTTTAGGGTCTAGGGTTTTGGGTATAGGGTTTAGGGCTCTAGTTAGGGGATTTGGGTTTAGGGTTTAGGGCTCTAGTTAGGGGATTTGGGTTTAGGGTTCTAGTTAGGGGATTTGGATATGGGGTTTAGGGCTCTAGAAAAAGAATTTTTATTTGAGTTGCTATAATAGGGATCTATAGTAAATAAAAGGGTTTCTTTATCATGGTAACTTAAAATGACTCGTCTAACAAGAACCGAAGTCACAGGCTTGTTTAGGGCTGCGGTTGAGGGTGCAAGCTTTTGTTGACTGGGAGTTTAGCGCTTGGAGTTGTTTGGCTTCAAGAATGCAGATTAGTGAGCTTGGGGTCGAGGGGTCTGCGGCTGCAAGAAAGCTGAGATGTTCAAAGAGTTGCGAACTACTAGCAACATGTGTAATGTAAGGGCCCGAGTAAGCAGAAAGGTGTTGGGGTACAGTATACTATGATTGTAATGAGGAGCCCGGTACTTGTTTAGGCCAGAACATGGGTTCCAGCAGATTGTAGCTAGACTTTGTCAACTCGTATTGCTCACACTGCTGCGGTAAGTTGCTTAGGGCTGGTTTAAGGACTTGTAAAGCACAAGCTACAGTCTAAACTCCCCAAGGCGGGTATACAGGGGACTGCTATGGGGCTTACTCAGGGGGACAATCGGAGGTTAGACTATAGCTCATATGGAAGGAGCCAACGTTACCATTGATAATGTCTCGAGTCTAGAAACCGCAGCTGGAAACCGCCCGAAAACACCGTCAACCCGTAGTGGCAAACCGCTCGAGCAACATGAACCTCACACCCGAAAAACTTAACTTGCTACACACAAGGAATGGATCCCTGCAGTAGTTTGTATAATCCGTGCCCTGCTGCTGACCACCTGTAGCTCAAGTCGGAATCGCCCTGACACCCTCAACCCAGTAACTAGAACCGGAACCCTAAACCCTCATCCCAAACATGATACGTCCACTCTGAAATCCCACGACCTCTGCCCGCAGAGCGTGCCTCAGAGCGTTTCCAAGATGGACAGGCTTCGGGTGGGAGTTTGAGGCAACTGCGAGCGAAGTCTGTACGAAGTGTTCTTCCATCTATCGACTTCTGATACGTGTATGAATCCTCGGCTATCTAAGACTGGGAGTTTCAGGACTAAGAGCTCCAGAATTTATTTGAAATGCGCTTCTCATTCGGGCTTGTCAACATAAAGGTGAAGGGCCATTTGGGTCCATCATGGGCTTGTTGAGTTGTCTATGTTTGCCAAGGGGCAGCAGCTGCCCGCGGAGAGCGAACCATGGCAAATGAATTAATCTTGACGTGTCGATCTGCTGTAGAGCTTTGCGTTTAGGACTTCGGGTTCATGGTGCTAGGTGGTGTTTCAAACTGAAGGCTGGGGTGGGTGCATGTTAGGGCTCTGGGTCTTGGGGTTCAGCGCTCAAGGCCAAAACCTTGATCACAAGCTTGGAAATTGGGGTGTAAGGCTGCTGTTATCATGTGTCTGAAAGCCACATGTACCTTTACCTGAGGATCTGGGTCGTATGTTGGGGTCCTTGACAGGCTCCGCTCAGTTTAGGGTTTAGCGTACAAGAGCCAACACTTCAACAATAAAGCGGCGGCGTTGTTCGAGATATGCGTTTTCACCTTTCACGTGTAGCATTCCAAGCGGCCGGCCATGTGTCGTTCGTTGACCCCAAAATCACATGAGCAAGGCCTCGTTTGTACATAAGCATAAAAACGGTTAAATAGAATGCAAAAATACATCTGTACTTACACATACTAATATGAGAGGGAGAGAGAGAGAGAGAGAGAGAGAGAGAGAGAGAGAGAGAGAGAGAGAGAGAGAGTATACTCATCTATGTACATGTCTTTAGGTTTGGGGTGGTTTTCTGGACGAGGCTGCTGCGCCCTTGACTCTTGTCACAGTGGAGGCTCAACACCAAGAGGATGCGGTGCCCAAGGAGGAAGGGGCTTAATGTAGGAGCCTTCATAATTAGAATAGGGTTTTGGGTCCTATTATACTACAGTTAAAGTATCTAGGCTTCTACAGTAGGGCTTCTTCGGGTGGAGAGTACTATGAGCTGATCGGGATAAGAGCGCCTCGCAGATAATGCTTCCTTGAATACGGATCAGGATTGAAGCTTCACACAATGCCGGGCTAAACTCTCAGATATTTCGGGGCAGTCACTGCACGATGTCCCTAAAAGCACCGAAATACTCTGCTTATGTGTTTCGAGCTAAAGATTTAGACACCCCTTTCGAGGCCTTAACGTTTAGGGTTTAGGCGTTTTTCTGCAACTGAAAAATTGCGGGTCCTACTACCATAGACCAGGCATTCAGGTTTAGGGATTTGGGTTTAGGGGTTCCGAGTCACAGGCTGGAAAGAAGCGACAGGCAAACACTCGGCCAAGATATTCCGGAAACGTCAGGACATACAAAAACAAAAAAGTTGGACATTGGACCTGCTGTTGGCATTCGGAATAAGACAACTCAAGAATACGAAACATAGTTCAGGCACAGGGCCATCGCCTCTGGGGTCCACAACCACAAGTAAAACAAAACAATAGTACAATAATATATAGTAATACTCATAACAATACTGCTGTAATAGTATCGTATTATAGCACGAAACCCTGAGCTCTGTAACCTTAGGAATCTTAAAAAGTATTCAATGTACTCGAGCAGCCAATGCGGGCATTTCGGCGCAAGTTCAGGGCGAGTTCTCCTGCACACAGCATACACATCGCGCACTTCCGCCGCCCCCCACCAGAGCAGAAGCACACTTGGCTACCCACGTTTCGCGATCCTTGAAATTGGATTCGCTCGGTTACCCCAGCCCCAACTGCGCGACCTGAGTCGGAGCCTGGAAAGCTTCAGTTTCCACAACTCTGCGAGCTATGGCTGCTTATTATTACTATGATAGCGTCATTATAGTAATGCTGTAGAATTCTTATCGTATATTCATTATATTATCATCATAGTACTGCTATAGTATTCTTATTATCAAGAGCTTTGGCCTTCTACTCTTACATCAGGCTCCGCCTCGCCGCCATAGAATTGGTCTACGCCGCTGCTGCGACCGCTTCGTCTGCACTTTGAAAGAGCTCCTCGTCACCGTCAGGCAAAAGGCCTTCCCCCAAGATCGGCTCTTCAAGCTCTTCTTCATTATCCAAGCGCCCATTGTAATTGCCAGCCGAATCGTTGTCCAAGTTTGCCTCGTTCATGACTGACTCCAAGAGCTGATCCAAGTCAAGATCAGAATCGCCCGCTGCGACCCTCGTGTCATCCACAAAGCTTTGATTCTCCACGGATTCTTCCGGCGACCTGGGCTCATCATCCTCTGCCATTCCCAAATCTGCCCCCAAATCACTCGGTGCTGCCAGCGAACTGACTTCCGGGAACACCTCAAACCTGTCGGCAGATTCCTCCTCTTCCATGGGCACGGAAAACAGTTCTTGCTCGTCCATGTCCTGTCATTCGCGCAGAAGCAAGTGCTAGAATGAAGCAGTACTTGTAATCGCAAAATCCGTGTAGGAGCAGAATTTGTAGTAGTGGTTAGTGGTAGTAGTAGTAGTAGTAGTAGTAGTAGTAGTAGTAGTAGTAGTAGTAGTAGTAGCAGAAGAAGAAGAAGTAGTAGTAGTAGTAGTAGTAGTAGTAGTAGTGGTAGTAGTAGTAGTAGTAGTAGTAGTAGTAGTAGTAGTAGTAGTAGGAGCAGAAAAAATAGCAGTAATAGCATCATTTTGATGTAGTAGCAGTACGCTTTTCATAATTGTAGTACGAGTGATTGTAGTTGGTGGTCATGAAAGTGGCCAGAGGACGAGGAGCACCAACAAAAGTAACAAACAGAAGCATGCACGTAGCTCCTGGACCCCACAAAAACCTCAACCCGGAATCTTCAACACCAAACTCTCTGCCTCATCTGCAGAAACTTCCGCCGCAGGCCCAGAACTTGTGGAAATCTTTGGGCCGTGGCCCGAGTCCGTGATCAGCTTCCGCAAGCCTTAGAGGGTTTAGGGTTTAGGGTTGGGGCTTTAGCTTCAAAGTATATTTAGGATTTTGGGCTTTAGTTCGAGGTTTAGGGTCTAGGTTTTCAGGGCTTACCCTGAGTAGGCCATGGCATACATTGTCTTGAAGAGATGTTCCCTGCTATCCTCACTCAACCAACAGCCTCCAAAGCAAGCATGGCAACTGTGATTTGGGACCACGACCTTGTTCTCGAGCTGCTTGCCTGTCATGGGCGAGATGGAATTCCGCGAGAGCCACTCCGCGATATGCGATCGCTCGTAGCTGTAGCCATCTGCAGTTTGGACGGGGTCCTCCATTACCTGCGAGGCCAGGCGGAAGATCTCATTACCCCTATGCATGACGTTGACTCTGAACTCTGAACCCAACGTGGCCGTATGCTGGAGTTCACAGTCTCACATGGTGAATCTGAGTACTTCTGAAAGCATGATCGAAAAGAAACTGAAATCCAGAATGCACAGCCGCTTCCGCCGAACCCTGAAACGCTACGAAACCAGTACCGTTGACATGAGGCCGCTCTGGGCAAAACAACTCTGCGCGGAGTGCCAAAGCTTCTGCTATACGATTCTAGTATACGCTGATGGTATACTATACTATGATAGTATACTACTGTACTGGAATAGGATATGATTACAGTCTCGATAGTCTTGATCCCCGAAGAAAGAGACGTCGACAACTCACACCCTACAACCTGAAGCCTAAACCAAAACCCTCGAAACCCCCCAGAGCTCCCCTAAACCCCCCAAAACCCCTAAACCCCTTACCCCACTACTGTAAACCCTGGACTGTCTATGAGCCTGTTGAGAGATTGGGCAGATGAATTCGTTAGGGATGGCGTCGATCCGTGTGGAGATCCTTGGAGCTGTAGCGCTTTAGCGTCCAGAATTTAGGGTTGAGAGGTTTAGTGCCTAGGGTTTTAGGGTTTAGGGCTTAAAGGGCCTAGGATTTAGGGGTTTAGGGGTTCAGGGTTTAGGGCTCAGGCAGAAAATGGCCTACGATGAGAAGGGAGACACCTGTAGAACATCAAAACCCTAGAACCCTAAAGCCAAAAAAATCTAAAGCTCGAAAACCGTAGACCCTAAGGGGCGTATCTCACTGGCTCTGACTTGCAAGTATTTGAAGCTAACTCCCAAAACCCAAACCCCAGGCCTTTGGGTTTGGGGTTGTGGGTTTCTGGAACTTGGGTTGCAGGACCAGGTAATTGCACCCGGACTGGTAAATCTATGTACAACTCACCAGCACACGTAAAACAGAAGGGGCAGCAGACCCTGAATGGGCGTTTGGGGCTTCGGGTCTGGAGGATAGGCCGGGGCTGGAATTTGAAGGTCTAAACTCTAAACCCCAAGCTTGGCGCCCGGAGCCCTACATCCTGAATTCTGAAACCTGAACCCTAAACCCTAGCCTCCCGCAAGCACGCCAAGCATCTCGGTTGGAGGTGTGGGGAGGGCACGTGCGACTTTCGCTGTCACAAGATCCTGCGTCAGCGGTCGGGTTGGCTGGCGTCGGGTTTACGGAAATCGGGTTTCAGGGTTTGAAGACGCTCAAAGCTTAGAAGAGCCTCTAGACACTCCAGCAGCGATGAGTTCAAATCTAAATCTAAAGCCCAACGCAGCTCTGTAGATAGCATGGAGTTCCAATAATACTATAGTAGTACTAGAGTAGTATTATAACAGTGCTATGATAGTACTTTGTAATAATCCAATAAGTATAGCACTAGAATAATGCTAGCACCAACTCCTGGCCGCTCACTGAGTTCTGATCCCGAAGACTGCACAACACCTTAAACCCCAAACTAACCCTGTTGTAGTATACACTTTTAGTAGACTGGTGTAGTATATTATGTACAATAACAATATACGAAAATAGTATACTATTATAGTATATTTTAATCCTATCATAGAATATGTGCACCCCAGGCCCTGAACCCTAATCCCTAAACCCTAGAGGCCCTAAACCATACTACAATGGTATTATAAAATTATAAGAGTACTATATTACTTCTGTCTGTCCCTAAACCCGAAACCCTTGGACCCTTGTCCTTCAGCACCTGGAGGCTTTCTTTCCGGCCCTCGGCTTTCTTCTCCAGCTCTGCGATGGCTTCGGCCACGGCCCCACGCAGGCACCGGAGAGCCTCTTCTGGAAGGCTTCAGGGCTTAGGGTTCAGGGTTGAGGGTTTAGGGTTCAGGGCATAGTGTGTAAGCACTGCAAAACGATGCCATGGAAACTGGCTCAGGTTGACTTGCGCTTCCAAGGTGGAGCGCCGAGATCAGCAAATCTCCTCCGTGTTATTCGAGCTTCTACGTCTGATACTAAACTCTGCATAGTGCTACTGCACTCACCCATCTTGATCCAAGAAAATGGGTTTGGAGCGTCTGTGATTTGGAAGATATTTGTCACAAGGCTTGTAAGCTGCAGGCGGCATCCTCCTGAGCACCTGCATCCTACACCCGAATAATAAACCCTCACCTCTCAAGCCTAACCAAAAATCAACCCAGACTCTCAACCCAATCAGCCCGACGCCCTAGGCCTTTCGAGTGTGAGGGGACAGCCACCCGAAAACTCCCGTGATTGTGGGGCTTATGTTTTTGGGGTTTAGTGATTTGGGTTTAGGGCTTCAGGATTCGGGTTTAAGGAATAGGGTGTAGGGTTTACGGGCCTCCATCTCCTTGCCCTGTGCGCTGAGCCGAATCATGGACTGCTCCTTGACCGCCCACGGCTGTAGGCTCAGCTTATAACTGTACGGGTTTGGGTCTGGAGGTACGGTGGTTTCAGGATCAGAATCAGAACCCCATATTGGCTGCTTTTGCCATGAAGATTCTGTATTGCTATTGCGCTGAACCATGATCTATTCCGAAACAAGGAGGTTCTTGATATTTTCGCCTGCAGGTTCAGGGAAAGGCCGGCTTAAACCCGAGGACATATACTGCTGTATGTTGAATTCCAGCTAAGCATTACGCTGTGCACCTGAACGTCTGCATCTCAAAACACTCTTGAAACTTGAAGCCCTAAACCTTTCGCCCCAGATCCTCCACCCAAACCTCCAACTAACACACAAAGCTTCTGCCAGATCCCTCCTAACACCGCAAACCCTAAACCCCCAAAGCCCTGAACCCTAAACACCAGGGTTTAGGGTTTAGGATTTCGGGCTTAACGCCTAGGCCTAAGCCTCTAAAGCCACCAAAACCCTAAGCCCTAAACCCTAACCCCTAAAACCTTAACCCTAAACCCCGAATCCTACCACCAAAACCCCCAAACGGCTCCAGGCGAGCGATGGCGGTGGCCACAGAGGCGGCTAAGTTCTTTTCGAGGCTGGCCAAGAGCTGGCTCAGCTCTTCCTGCGAAAACTTTAAGGCATCATGGGGGCCCCCTTTAAGGGTTCTAGAAGGGATCTACATTAATGTGAGGGTACTTATAACACCTCATAGGAATTAGGGTTTAGGGATTGAAGGGGTAAGGGTGTTGGGTTTCATGGTTTAGGGTTTGACCTTTAGGGGTTTGTGCGTTTAGTGGTTTAGGGTTTTTAGGGAGTTGGAGGTTTGGGGGTTTAGGGGGTTTACAAATTTAGGTGTTTGAGCCTGAAGTTTTGGGGCTGTTAGAGACAAGTGTTGGGATTCCTCTTGGTTCGGATTTAAGGTATAAAAACCTTTGTTCAGTCAACGAGCCCATAAAAGAGCCCTTCCACTCGACCGCCGCCTGCAGAAAGGCGCATGCACGCTGGAACATGGAACCGCCGCGCTCCTTGACCTGAGGGTTTAAGGTTTAGGGTTTAGGGATCGATCGCGTTGGGACGCTTAATCTGATTGCTTGATGTTGCTCCAAGTCATGGAATACTCTACACGTTCCCTGCGTTGGCTGATGGCTGATGGTTTAAGCGTGCTTGTGAGCCGCACTCTGTAAAGCCACGGAGCATCCATGCCATAGCTCACAGCACTATACTACATGAGTATCCCAATGTACTCTCCTATACGCCATACCATGCTCTAAGACAATGGTGAACTCCAGTAGTATACTACTGGTGTCTTGAATCGATTTGGATCCGCAGAGCGTAGTAGGCCATAGCATGTTCTTAAGGGTTTAGGGTGTCTGAAGACCTAGGAGGTCATTTCGAGCCTAGGCTTGCCTGCAGAAAGTTCTCTGTTCCTCCAAAACTCAAAACCATAAACCCTCGGCAAGTAAGCCTTCCAAGCAGGTCAGCCGCCTACCTCAGTATTTTCTAGCTAGTACCGTAATTCAGTGATTTGTCGTTGACTCTTTTGTGGACCCTGAGTTAGCTGCTTCTGCCTAGACTTCCGACGTGTTTTATCACGGTTGGGAGACATGAACTTTGTAAAGCTAAGGTGGTATCATCCCTAAACCCTTAAGGTAGACGCCAGAAAATTGGAATCTGATTATCCTAAACTGTTTATGGTAAATTACAGGGTATCCTACCCTGAAACCATATTACAACTTTTTGGAGTTCCCCTTAACCTGAATGTCCAGCTTTGATAAGCAAGGCTGTGCCTTTCTGAGGTCTTCGGGGTTCTAGAGGCGCGGTGGTGTAGCATTTGGGCTTTGGGTGCCAAAGTTGGGTTTAGCGTTTAGGGTTTGAGATTTGGGGGTTTAAGGTTTAGGGTGTTGGGGTCTAGGGTCTTGCGGTTTAGGGTTTAGGGCCAGGGTTTAATTCGGGATTTAAGGGTGTTGGGTTTATCTTGAAACCCAACCAACCCAAGACCGTAAAGCCCAAACCCTAAACCCCAAGATCCCAACATCCCTAAACCCGAAACCCCAAAGCCTGAATCCCAAACCCTAAGCGGAGCCGGAGGGACTTGGGTGTAGATGACCTGCTTTTGCCGAACATCGGTCCCACCGCCAGACATCCCTGCAGCCTGCTTGTAGCTGGGCCTCAGGGAGCGCAAGTAGGGGTTCAGCGGATTCAGCGGTGTAGGGTCTTTACGGCTTTAGGTTTACCTTTACCTTTAGTCTGAAAGGTGTATCAAGCCAGGAGTGCAGGAAGAGACCCCAAACGCGAAGTTGAATTTCAATGAACAAAGACGTGTGCACTGAACCCTAAAATGCCAAATCCCTAGACCCTCATCCCTAAACCCCGTTGGATCCACTCGCTGGGCCTCATAAGGCCCTGGATGGTTTCCTTGATCTGACGGCTCAACTCCATCTGCCGCTTCTGCATGGATGCCTTTTGGGAGTTGCTTGAGAGGAATGGGGTTTAGGGCTTTGGGTTTAGGGGTGCTTGGCTGCAGAAGCACAAGCGGAAACAAGGACACCCACAAGCCCAACTACACGGAACATCTGCAAACAAAATCCAACATCTTCAGAATCTAAGTACAGGCCTACACCACCTAATAGCAGCGAGCTCTAGGTTTGAAATCGTGATGGACATACACAAAGAGACAGCTTTAGAACCGCCGAACCTCAGAGACAAGAAACAAAAAGAACGGGCAGCAGCCCGAGGTCATGGCGACAAAAAACACAACAATCATCAGCTAAGTCTTGGGTTTCGGATTTTGGGTTTAGGGGTGTAGGGTATAGGGCATGCGGTTTTGGGGTTAGGGTCCAAAAACTTAACGCAAGCTGGGGTCACTGCTCAAGCACCTGTTTCCCCCTAAAACCCAAAAGCGCTTCTATACCACATAAAACCCTCAACCCCCCCCAAACCCTAGGCCCCCTAAACCCCTAAAACCCCGAAAGCCTGTGAACCTACAACCCTACACCCCGACGGTTCAGGGGTTTAGGGGTTTAACCCTAAACCCCCTATAAAACCCCCTTCAAAGCGGCGCCCAAGGGCGGCCTTGATTCCAGGACCCTGGCCCTGAAGCCACTCGGCAGCCTCCTTGAAGGCCTGACCTCGGCTTCAGCCCAATTTTCTCCGGTGAAATTTGGGAGTTTCCGAAAATGGGGGGGGGGGGTACCTTATTTGGGGGTCCTTATAATAAGGATCCTACTAATTTTGGGTACTATATTAGGGTTCCCCATTTTCTGAATCTCCCATTTAAGGTTTCAGGCATTTACTTCAATTTGCCAGAGTAGGAACCCATAGTAAATTATATGGATGGTTTCCTTATTCTGGTAACGAAAATTTAAAGCCCTGAACAAGAACCCAGCTTAAGGTTTAAGGACTAGGGTTAAGGGTTCTGGCGCTCAGGGCCTCGGCGTTGGGCTTTTCTGGCTTTAGTGCCGCCCGGGGGTTCAGGGCTTTAAGGTTTTTTTTTTTTGAGCCCCTTTTTCCCCGAAGTCGCAAGCGAACTAGTGACTCCAAAGAAGGCCTCCCTGAGGCCAGGCGGCTTTAAGGGTTTAGGGCTCAGAGTTTCAGGGCTTGAAGAAGCTTTTTGAACGACTTCCGGTGTTGAAAATGATCCAGGACCTTTAGGGGCTTTGGAAAGTTCTAATCGCCGCAAGTGAGACTTCGGGATTCAGGGGTCTGGGCGGGCCTCACTGTAGCACATCAGACAAGGACGAAAGTTCGGTGCGGCATCGTGCATATTGTAGTAAATGTGGAAACTGTTGAGTGTACTTCGGCAGCGAGATGAAGATTGTGTCATTGCTGGGGCCAGCGCACACCCTGGGCGGTTTGAGATTGTGAAGGTTCTGACGGCTGTGCTGGGAAAACCTGAACACACTCGCACGCTTCAGGGTTGAGGGTTCCCAAAGCCCCTCAACTCTAGACCTTAAACCCTGCGGGCCGCAAAATCCAAAAAAACCACTACACTACCCAAACTGCTCAGAGCAGGCTGTTCGTTCCAGCGGCCAGGGAGGAGGTGCTTCTTCTGCAGCTCGGACAGCTCGCTGCACAGCGTATCCAGTGCATCTTGCACGCACCTGGTCTGTTGCACAGCTTTTTCGTCTTAAGCCTGAAGTAGCAATCAAACCAAAGACCAGTGACCAGTACACAGCACAAGCAGACATTGACAAGAAAGATGTTATAATCTGCATGGGCCCTACACCCTAAACCCTACTGCTTGGACACTTGAGGTGCACAAGAAAAGGCCCGAAGCTCCCTTGCTCAACTCCCTGTCTGTCCCCTAATGCCCTAAGGGTTTAAGGCTTAAGGTTTACATATAGGGTTTAGGGTTTAGGGTCTGCACCCTCAATTCTGTTTAAGACTTCCTACATCGCCTCCCTCCGCCCTAGGCCCTCAACTCTCAATGCCCACAAAACACGCATTAAGCTTTACAGGGTTTAGGGCTATATTCAGACTACAATACTATACTACAAAACGAAAATAAGATACTATAGTACAATATTAATGCTATGGCAATACTACAGTAACTCTAACTAGCTGGTATAGCATCGTAGTATTGCACCGCAACGCAATGCAGATAAGCTCAACCACTCAAGCCCAGGATCGCAAATCATGGGGTTTCGGATTGAGGATAAAACTTTGTACAAACCTCCCAAGTGCTGCAGCCAGCATGCTGGGGCAGAAAGCTGTTGAGCGTCTGGTCCCACTTCACGGCAATGGCACGATTCCTGAGGCTTTGGGGTTTCGCGTTTATGGCTTGGAGGTTTGGGGTGTGGGGGTTGCTGTTGAGGGTTCCAAACCCTACACCCCAAAACGCTCTTCAAAGCGCATAGTGCTTAGATAGGGGGTGGGTCCTAGGCTCCGTTCTCCCTCGACCTGACCATCCTTTGTCAAGAGCTGCTGTCATAATGACTGCCCATGACGTAGGGTAATAATACGATTGCAGGGAAATAAAGCTAAAACAAGATAAGAGTACTGTTATACTGTATAACCGTATGATAGTGCTACTATGCTATAGTCGGTGTAATTGCGGTATTGGGCTTAGGATGAACACGTCCAAGGTCTTGAGCAGACATCCCTAGCCGAACACAGCGACCACTGCGTTGCAGGAATATGCTAATACTTAACCCTGAACCCCGAAGCCACTAAACCCTACCCCAAATCCGAAAAAGAGGAATATGAATATGTTCATACCTCAAACCCTAAACCCTTAAGCCGCTAAACCCTACTCGACACTAAAAAACACCGAAAGCCCATCAAGGCCCCTAAACTACACAGAGCCCTACTATAGATCCCTGTAGCAGCCCCTATAGAGCCCCTTTACAGGAACCCTACTTGGAGGGGCAGGGGACTTAGAGTAAGTAGGTTATAAGTAGAGTTATAAGTACCCTAAATGGAGTTACCCCAATTATAACCCTACTTATAACCATACTTACTAAGTCTCCTGCCACTCCAAGTACAGAGGGCCAGGGCTCAGCGGGTCGGCCAGGAGCTCGTTGAAGCTTTCGCGCCACTCGCCCTCGCGGCGGCAGGTGGCCTCGGAGGGGCTCCAGGGGGGTTTAGGGGGTTACTGGGGTTTAGGGCTTAGGGGTTTAGTCGGGCGTTTTCAAACCTCTCTTAGAGGTTTAGGGTTTAGCGTTTAGGGCTTACTGGTTTTAGGGTTTCTGGGGTTTAGGTTCGAGAGCTTCAGAAGTTTAAGGGTTTATGGTTTAGGGGTTACTGGGTTCGGGGGGTTTCTGGGTTCAGGGGGTTACTGGGTTTCTGGGGTTTAGGTTCGAGAGCTTTAGATGTTTAAGGGTTCGAGGATTAGTGTGTTTTCCTACAAAGCCTAGCCCTAGATATTGGAACTTGGGATGGCTCGCGAGTAACCGCAGCCCACCGCTGAAGATCCACAAATCTCGACCCTGGGCCCATATACCCTAAAGCCCAAACCGAGAAGCTAAACGCCCTTAAAGTTTAGGGTTCTGAACCCCGAACCCTAAAATCCAAAACCCACTTCGCTCCCCCTCAGAAGCCTTGAAGGTGCACCAGTGAAGGCCACCACGGCCCATTGGCTGGCACCTTCCGCAGCTTCGAGAACAGGTTTTTTGGGCAAGAAGTTTCGGGTTTAGGGTTCAGAGTCCAGGGCTGAATTGGCCTGACTTGGGGAGGTACAAGAATAATACCATAATACTATTGTATTAATACTACACTAGTACATAATACTATCATCGCACTATTTAGTCAGCAAGCCTCCATAAACCTGAAACAACACACATGCCCTGGACACCCTGCTGGTGGGGCCTCTTCTCAAAGCTTTGGCCCGCGGCCTCCGTGGCCTCTTGCTGGCCAACCTCTTAGGGGCCGCTTCGGCGTTTAGGCCTAGGGTTTGGGATTCAGGGTTCAGGGTTATAGGGCCTCGGGTTTAAGGCCAACTTGGGGCGTTTTGAGGTCCGCCGCCAAGGCTGTCAATCGTACAATAACGATAGCCATAGTTGTCCGAGTAATAGCGGTAGAAGTAGCAACAGAACCATAACAAGCCGCATGATACTCAAAGCAATAGAAGTTGTCGTTGGCGGGGTGTTCGGAGTTTCGATTTGAATTCCCAGCCTCCTTCTACTCAGAAGCCCCACACCTGCAAACCCTGAACACCCACAGACCCTCAAACCCCATTCCCTAAACCAAAGATTTAAGGCCAAACCAGACCCATAAACCCTAAGCCTACCTCGACTCTCACTCCTGGCCTTCAGCTGCTGCATCAGGCTTTCTTGCATCTCCGTCTTGGCCTTCTTCATGCAGCCTCCCGGCTTGGTAGAGTTTGGATTAAACCCTGAACCCAGAACCCTAACCCTAAACCCAAAGGGTTTTGAGGCTTAGGGTGCAGGATTTGGGACTCGAAATGTATATGGCTTGGGACTAGAGCTTTGTGCTAAGTCTATAAACCTAAATCCCTCAACGCAACTATCCACTCTTGTCCCACTGGTCCTTCGGCCCAGGTTAAACGATTTGTTGAGTTCGTCGGCTCAATCCCAAAAACACCAAAACAACCTAAGCATGCTCTCTAAGCCCTAAGCCCCAAACCCTATCAACCCTGAAGCCGACATCCCAAACCCCCGCATCCCAACCCCCGCCCTCCCCAACCACCGATGCCTTCCTGAAAACCATCCTGCCAGCCACTTACCTTAAGCCCGGATCCTAAGTCCAGCGCTATGGCTTAGGATTTCGGTTCAAGCTTTAGGGTTTTGGGTTCTAAGGCTTGAATATGAGGCCGTAGGGTTTGAGGGTTTAAGTCCTAAACCATAAACCTGAGGCCTCGGATGACTTCATCCATCACCGCCTGGATCGTGTGACGAGCGTCCTCGGCCCAGCGCTGAACGAGGCCCTGCTCCTTTGCTCAGGGGAGATCTACTGGGTAAAAGCCAGAAAGTTGGAATATGATTATCCGGATACCCTGAAACCATATTCCAACTTTCTGGAGTTCCCCTTACTGGGTTGTAGTTTTGGGGCTCTGAACAGTATTTATGAATAGGTACCTCAAAAGGAACCATAAGGGAAATTAAAAACTTTCCCAAATTGCCACCTAGTCCGCTAGACACCGAAAGGTTTAGGGCTTAGGGTTTAGGGTTCTCCCTGATTCCCTCATCCCCAAATCCTAACCCCTCAACTCCAGCCATGTGGGTTATTGGTTTAATATGGCTTTAGGGTTGAGGGCCGTTTAGGGCTTGGGGCGTTTAAGGCTTTGGCGTTTCAGAGCTTCGGCGGGAGGTGTGGGAGTTGAGCTCAGGAAACTAACGTGTAACGGGGTTAGTGTTGAGGGTTTAAGGCTTAGGTTGGCTTATGAGTTGGGGTTTGGGTTAGACGGGGCCCCCATCCTGTAATAGTGGTATGATAGGAATATAATAGTGCCCTAATATAATCCTTATAGTCACTATTACAGGGTGGGGGCCCCTTCTTGGGTTTTGGGGTTCTGGGTAAGTTTACTTAGATTCTTCAGTCCTGAAGTCCTGGCTCTAGAAGTTACCCGAAAACCCCGTTTTGAGACAAACCGTAATATGCTGCACATAGCCCGAAATCACCAAAAGAATCGGGTGCAGGGCTTCTAAGGCTTATAGGGTTCAGGTTTTGCGGTTTATACGGTTTAAGGTTTAATGCATATAGGGTTTAGTGTTTGGGGTTTGGGGTTTATCGCGTTCAGGATTTTGGGTTTGACTTTTGGGGTTTAGGTTTAGGGTTATAGGGTATGGGATATGGGGTTTAGGATTTGGAAGGGTTCAGGGTTTAGGGCTTGGGGCTTAACGCTGAGAGGGTTTAGGGCTTCAGGTTCATAGGATTCAGGCTTGTGGTTTAGGGCTTATATTATAGGGTTTAAGGTTTCGGCGGAGATGCCGCAGTCCTGCCAGCCTTGATTGAAACAAAGCCCGAAATGAACCACCAGTTGTGAGCACTTATAGGCTTTAGGGCTTTGGGGGGTTCAGGGTTTTTGGTGTAGGGCTGATAGGGTTTACGGCTTATACAGGGTTCAGGGTTTGGGTCCTTGGGGCTCCTATGCCAGAGGCTCAAGAACTGAAGAAGCCTCCTAGTGCAAGCATGGGCTCGACGATCTCCCCTGTGGATGACTCCTGCACAACAAGATCCCAGAGCCCGGGAGAGATGGAAAGACACCCTGGACCCAAACCTCCTAAATCCTAAACCTGAACTTAAATTACCTCAACCCGAACCCCTAAACCCCAAGACTCCAGAACCCCTAAATCCCCAAACCCTGAGATTCGAATCCTATGACAGTACAATAACATGCATGATGAAATGATATTGCAGTATTGTACTAAGGGTTTGGGCTCCTTAGCTTCACCTGGAGGCCAAGGCTTTCCTGACCTGGCCTTCGGGGCTTCAGGTGAGCTCAGAGGTTTCAGGGGCTGGCGTTTAGGGTTTTCAAATAGTGCATAGGGTTTTGGGGCCACCTTTTGTCCGGGTTTCGGCTGGGTTTCGACCGAAAGGGAGTCTTGGGTCTTCGAACGCTGTTGCGCGAGGCTTACCCGCTTTAGTCGTCTTTATAAAGTGGGGCTGGACCGAAGTGCGCCGATCGCGTGTGCTTTCTGGGGGGCCTCATTCGGCAAGGAATGCCTGTTGCCAGAGGCGTGCCGATTTTAGTCTTCCTTGTAAGTTGGCGTGGGACCGAAGTGTGCCGCAGGACAGTGTTTCACGGGAGTTCGTAGACAAGCCGGAAAAGAGCCATGCTGTAGTTTATCGGAACACCTGGTGTCCAGTGTTCTCCAGGCCAGGGTTTACCGAAGCCCCTTTGAGAAACAGCCTCTACGCATGCACGCAAGTCGGCTAGCATGCTTGAAAGCGCCAGGAGGTATACGCAAATGGATTCAATCTCTAACAAGTTGTTATATTGCACACCACCCGATCGTGCAAACTGTTCACCTATGAAAAGCAACAACGTCAGTTGAAACTTTTCCTGGAGGGTTTAGGGTTGAGGGCTTGGGGCTTTGAGCTTGGTTTTGTCTTTCTGTCACCTGTTTAGGGTTACGGGTAAGGCAACTAGAATTCAGAAGTCAGGTTGCTTGCCGAAGCACAAATCCTGCACTCAAAACGGATGGCCGTGCCATATTCGAATATGCTTCATCAGATGCTGTGACCTCTGAAATATGAATCCCTGTAACAATCTTGCAAGCACGCTATAGTCATCTGCAGCTTTTGGCCTTGCGCCCTAGCTTACAAACCTAGACCTATACCTTCTGTTTTGACCCCTCAACCTGAAACCCTAATTTTTAACACAAGAAACATCAACCCCCCCCCCACATCCAGACCCCCAACAGCCTCAACACTAAACCCTTAAATCTTTCAAACCCCCCCAAATCCTTAAGAGTCTCCTGTAGCTTCTGCAGAACAGTCTGCGTCCGCTGCTGCGCGCTCTCCAGCGCTGCAAGGTCGGCCTCAGAGGGGCAAGGGTTTGGGGTGCGTACTATAGGGGCCTGAATAATTACCAACACTATTTCGGGGGGTTCCATACTATAATTGTAATAAATTATGGGCCCCAAAACCCCTAGTCTCATTGTTAAGGCCCCTTTGGTAGGAATCGGGGTTGAAGTCTAAGGTTTGAGGCTGCGAGAGGCCTCGACCATGTACTCTGCACCGTGCCCCAAACTCTCAAGCTCTCCTGAGCCTTCAAACTTCTATGCTCTCGAGGTCAAGGGGCTACCGCAAAGAACTGATCTCCATTCCCAAACCTCAGCCCTAAACCCTTCAACCCGTAAGCCGGACACCCCCTATATCCTTACCCGAACCAGAGGGGATACCTCCACCGCCCACCATATTTAGCTCAGCTTGCAAAGTGGCCTTCCGGCCCTGCGCATGTAGCCACAGTCGGAAGGCTGGAATCTCCGTGTCCTCCACAGTCGACCAAATCCGTGCACGACCGTCCACCTGGAAGATCTGTTAACTCGAGTTTTTGGTTTAGAGATTAGGGTTTTCTTGGGGTTTAAGCTTGAAGGTTGACAATCTGGGGTTGGCAGAATATGGGGATTACAGGCTTGTCCTCCAAGCCCGAAACCCTAAACCCCAGACCCTCAACTCAAGGTTATGGCAACCCAAACCCCAAAAGCTCAAGGCTGGGATCCCTTGCCCTGGGCCCAGGATCCGCAAAGGGCCCTCCCCTTGGGGCCTGCCTTGGTGTCGAGGAGGCCGCGGAGCTTTTGGTAGTCGCGCGCAGAGGTGGTGAAGACGGCTGGGAAGATGCCTGGGGGCTAGGGTTTTGGGGTCCAGGGTTAAGGGATTGTAGGGCTTGAGGAGCGCCACCTCGAGGGATAAGACCTAAACTCTTAAGAACCTGAACCCTTATACTTCCTGAAAACTACTTGTAGAGCTCACTGTGCAACTAATAGGTGATGTTTACAGGGGCTGCTTATGTGTATTGTCTAGGACAGCTCTTCCTTTCCGCACGTGAGGGATGCTCCAGCCGGGCAGGGTCCCTAAACCCTAAACCTGGAGGAGATGCCACGAGCTTGCAGCTCTTCGTTGCTGCTCCTCTTGCTGTCACTCTGCGCCTGGCGAGTAGTAGTAGTAGTAGTAGTAGTAGTAGTAGTTGTAGTGGTAGTCGCAGTAGCAGTAGCAGTAGCAGTAGTAGTAGTAGTAGTAGTAGTAGGAGGAGGAGTAGCAGTAGCAGTAGCAGTAGCAGTAGGAGTAGGAGTAGGAGTAGGAGTAGGAGTAGTAGTAGTAGTAGTAGTAGTAGTAGTAGTAGTAGTAGTAGTAGTAGTAGTATAGTAGCAGCAGCAGCAGCAGTAGCAGTAGCAGTAGCAGTAGCAGTAGCAGTAGCAGTAGCAGTAGTAGTAGTAGTAGTAGTAGTAGTAGTAGTAGTAGTAGTAGTAGTAGTAGTAGTAGTAGGCGTAGCAGTAGGAGTAGCAGTAGGAGTAGCAGTAGCAGTAGCAGTAGCAGCAGTAATTAGTAGTAGTAGTAGTAGTAGTAGCAGTAGTAGGAGTAGCGTAGTAGGAGTAGCAGTAGCAGTAGCAGTAGCAGTAGGAGTAGTAGTAGTAGTAGTAGTAGCAGCAGCAGCAGCAGCAGTAGCAGTAGCAGTAGCAGTAGCAGTAACAGTAGAAGAAGTAGTAGTAGCAGTAGTAGTAGTAGGTAGCGATAACAACATCGTAAGAATGATGTCAGTATTATCGCCGGTAATATTGCCACTACTACTACTACTACTACTACTACTACTACTACTACTACTACTACTACTACTACTACTACTACTGCGACGACGACTACTACTGCCACTACTACCATCACCACCACCAGTACCACTACTATTCCTCCTCCTCCTACTACTACCACTACTATTGGTACTCTGGAACCTTACGGGGTTCGGGCTTTGGGAGTTTTTGGTCTGGACCCCCACACCTTCAGGTTGGGTTTAGTTTAGGTCCTTAAACAAGTCAAGTTCATGCAATATTTATGGGGGCAGTTAGTATTTAGTAGGGGCAAGACCAGCACGAGCATGAAACACAGCTTGGGAAACTCGCCTGAATCCGGCGGATGCCCGCGAAAGTGTCTGCGAGAATCCTCTCCTTCCCGGCAAGGACGAGCCGGGCTTTCCACTGGACTAGGGTTTTGGGTTTAGGCATAGGCTTTGTGTTGCTTTGTTTGCTGGCACGGTGCTAGAAGCCTATGCCAGGCCAGCTATCGGCTAAAGGTTGGGGGAAGGCAGCGGCTGGGCGGCCCCAGGGCCTGCTGCCCCTTCCTGAGCCTCACTTGCTACAAAAAGGTTGCGGTGGATGCAAAACCGTTAATCGTAAACCCTAATCCCCTAAACCCTACTAGTCTACTATAATGCTACCAATCTATACTGCTATAGTAGTACTAGAATACTACCATAACACTACTGTAACACTACACAAGCCTGAGCCCAGATACCTCCCTCCGCAGCCACCTTGGTCTTCTCATTCCGGAGGACTGCGGCCTCCTTCTGGGGCACGTCATCGCCGATCTTCAAGTTCCTCCAGACATTCCGTGGCTTTTTTGGGGTGTTTAGGGTGTAGGGCTGAGGGTTGAGGGCTGAGGGTCTAAACCCTTAACCCTACACTCCCTAGACCCTCAACCCTTAGTGCAGGCAAGTCGAGCAAGCCGGGCAAAACGAGGCCCAAGGCTCTTGCGCAGCTCCGAGAGCGTCAGGTCATCCGTGCAGGTTGCGACGAAGGCCAAGTTGCCAGCGTAGTGCCCATCCTCGTCTCAGAGATGGGAGCTGCAGCCCCGAACCCGGCTTAAGCTCTAGGGTTTAGGGTGAAGGGGATGGGAGCCGTTTTACAGGAGGCTTACAGATGAGGCTGTACTGCTTCAGGGATTTTAGGGTTTAGGGTTTAGAGTGCAGAATGAGAAATCGTATAGATTTCACAAATGTCTATCGCTTACACACTCGTGGGTCTTCGTGCGCGCGCAGCTTAGACAGCTCTGCGCATTCTAAGAGCAGCACCACATCCCCCAAAAGCCCATGTCCATGTGATATATATATATATATATATATATATATATATATTATTATTATTGTTATTATTATTGTTATTGTTATTATTATTGTTATGGTTATTATTATTATTACTATTATTATTACTATTATTATTTATTTATTATTCTTATTATTCTTATTATGATTATTATTATAATTATTACTATTATTATTATAGATATTGTTATTATTACCGAAATCATTATTTTACGTTATATTGTATTAAGTTATGTGTATATATATATATATATATATATACGCACGTATAAACCCACAACACTAAAGCCTAAATACCAATTTAAAACCCTAAACTCCCAGGCAACCCTCTACCCCTGCACCCTCTACCCCAGCTTTGGCCCAGCGTCCATGAGCATCTGCCTGCGGAAGCGTTCGCCAAGCATCTCTTGTGCCACCTGGGCCGAATGGTTTAGGGCTTGGGACAAACCCTCAAACCAAAACCCTGAGCCCCAAAAAACCCTAAAACCGTAAACGAAACCCTAAGCCGGAACCCCCTAAACCTTTTCAGCCTTCTCGGTGGCCGCCCGTTTGATAGCCGAGACGATGACCACTCCGCTGGCTTCCTCCAGGAGCTGCTTGACAACCTGAATGGCTTTTAGGGGTTCATAGGGCTTCATAGGGGTTTAAGGTTTAGGGCTCAAGGGGGTTTTGGGTCTCTTTAGGGGATCCTAGGGGTGCATGGTTGTAGGGTGGTTTAGGGTTTAGGGCTGAGGGGCCCCTGCATTAAAGCTCGAAAGGGAAAATCTCCAATCCTCAGCCTCAACACAACGAAGCGGTAAACCCCAAACCCAAGATTCCTCTAACCCCATTAAGGTTTAGGGCTTGGGTTTAGGGCTTACGGTTTATTCTGCCTTGCTAAACCCTAAACTTGAGATCGAGCTGCACTGGCGCGCGCAGAGTTTGCATCCTGCACGCCTGGGGCATCCACCAGCACCACGCGGGGGTGGCACTCGAAGGGCCCACAGATCCGCACCTGCGGTGCAAAATATACATGGTACCTCGAACCCTCAAGTGTACCCCACAACCTGCACAGCATGTGCCTGTGCTATAACATATCCGGATACTGGCGCCATATGCCTTAAGCCCTAAACCCTAAACGTGCCGCACACACTCTGAAGTTTGGAGGGCCACGACGGCCTGCACTTTCTTGATGAACCTTTAAGGTTTAGGGCTCACCCTATACCCTACAAACCCTGAACCCCCAACCCCCCTAAATCCAAAATTGTACATGGAATTCTTGTACAGTATGCCCTACTATGCTTCTCCCTTTCTCGACTCCACTCATACTACCCTACGCCAAACTCCACTCCTCCGCCTTATTCTATTCTACATTGTACACATACATATTTACAGCGACGACACTTCTGCCTCTCTACAGCCATTCTATACTATACAGGATCTGTTAGATGTACTGTTGCATTACTCTCTACTCAACTGTACTATCCAAGTTGGGAGCCATGTCCCTGAACTGAGGGCCAAAGCCCTGGACCCAAAAAATCCGGTATACTATAATAGTATGCCAGTGTTCATAGAAAACCATTATGGTCTACTCTAATGGGGCACCATAATTTAAAATACTATGATAAGGTGCTATTGCAGTATACCATAATAGCATTCGATTATAATATACCATAACAGGGTTCCATTGAAGTATAGTACAAAAGTACCGGCACCTTCTTCACCAGCGGCCAGAAAGCTGCCACGTTCTCTCCATCCTTAGCGTTCCATTTAGGGTTGAGGGCCTTGGGTCTAGGGAAGTTTAGGCTGGGCAGTAGCGTATTTCCTCTGATGTTGATTGATTGTGGCAGCTGCTTGAAACTACACAACTAGCTAAACACCAAGCCCTGAAGCTGGTTCCCAAATCCTAAACCCCTAGACCCTGGCAAGCGACAGGGCTGTCCACATAGTCCAGGATTTCTGCCGTAAGGTTCAGGCTGCAGGCGTTCGAGAACTTGAGGACCTGCAGGAAGTCTCTGTGCCGGGGCTTACTTGGAGGGTCGGGGGACTTAGTAACTGGTTCTTTGCGGGACTTATAAGTACCATAACCCCAATTAAGGTTCCCCTTTAGGGTACTTATAAGTCTACTTACTACCTACTTACTAAGTCCCCCGACCCACCAAGTAAGGGTTTGTTTGGTTTAGGGTTTAGGCCCACTGGACCCTACAACTCCTCGCGGATTAGGGGAAGTCTCGGGCCATGGTATACCACATACAGTACTGTACATATAACTACACTATATACTGTTTAGGATTTAGGGTATAATCGTATTGTCACATGGTATACTGTAGTAGATTCTACTACATGAGCGCGGTTATTGAAGATGTTTGGGTTGGAGCTGCTCAAATATTTGTTCCTCATGTGCCTCCGATTTCATCCAACCGCCCCACACCCAAACGGTGGGTTTCCCAACACCTGCCTGCGACTGGCGGTGTTGCCTCGTCACCCGGTTCTTGGTGCGATCCAGGGTTGAGCGGGCCGTCCTTGGGGGTGAACATGGGGCTGGGGAATAACACGTGCTTGGAGGTTCAATAGGATTGCAAGCAAAGCGCATCCTAACACAGAAGCTCCCCCCGTCCTGATGTCCGTCCAGGGACGAGTGTCTTCGAAAGCCTGTAAAGATTCGATTTTCAGGCTCGCGAATTGAGCTTTGCAGTGATGTAATCTAAAGCCTACACTGCAAAAAAGGAGCCATAAAGGGTTTAGGGTTTGTGGCTTCAATGTAGGCTTACACGGTCTCAGGGACTCAGCCGTCGGTTTGAAGTTCCGGGCTTTGGGTTGAGGGCTTGGGGCAACACCCTGCAGTGCAGCCTCCGGATAAACTGCGAAGAGGGTGTCGTAGGCGATGGCCGCTGGCGTGGGATCGCCACCCCGCACCTACAGGCTCGGAGTTCAGGGTCCGAGGTGTGCGGTTTAGGCATTTAGACTTGAGGGCTTTTGGAGCGCTTGGACTTCATTTTGGACTCTTAAAATTAGGGTTCATGGTTTCGGATCTTCAAAGAGAAACCTTGACCGCTGACATCACCATCGCCAGCACAAAGGAAACAAAAGCTGAGATGAGCAGGGGAAATAAGAGCGTCTCCTTTAATGCGCGGTGCAGACTACATGACATAACGTATGCAAACTATGACCCCTGACCCGGACCCTCCCCCATGCCAATGCCTAGGAAGTTGAGACCCTCACCTCTAAGCCCCTAAACCCTCATACCCCAAGCGCTCACGCCCCTAAGGTTTAGGGCTTTAACGTGTGCCCTCTAAACCCTCAAACCCTAAACGATACACGAACCTTTTTACCTAAACCCTACACGAGAGTGTAGGGGCCTTAACAGTTAGAATCAGGTTTTGGAGTATATCATGTAATAATTGTAATAAGGAGCCCGCCAAAATAGTGTAGCTATTTACTAAGGCCCCTACAAGATGCACGAGCCAGGGCACCGGTTCCCTCCGTGACACCCGCACGCGGTCCGACATCAGCAGGTCTCCGAGCAGGCTCTCCACCTTGCACTCAGCTTTGGGGGTTTCAGGGTTTAGGGATTTAGGGTTTAAGGGCTCAGGGTTTAGAGTTTAGGGATTTAAGAGCTTAGGGTTTAGGGAGTTAGGGTTTAGGGATTAGGGTGTTTAGGGATTGGGGCGCACCGAACCGGGGAGCAAGGGAAACGAAGATCCACCTGGCTCATCAGATCCTTAAAACCTCTGCCAATAGCCTCAACCCGAAACCCAAACACCAAAGCTTCTACAACGCTACGTGGTTTCGGTTTACTGTAGTACACTATATTTATATTACCATAATACTATAATACTCTTGTACTGCTATCATAATACATCAATACTATAGTACTGCTACAACGATACAATAAGAAACCCCAAACTCGAAGGGTTTCGGCGATTTGGTTTAAGGTTTTAGGGGTTCAGGGTCTGGGGAGCTTGGGCTGGAAGGGTTGCCTGTGGTGGGTTCAAGGATCAACTTTTATAGTATTACGATAATACGATTATGATATTACTACTTTATGATATTCTTGCTCTTTGATTCAGGTACTATGATAACATTTCTATATTATCTTAATATACTTAATCTGTGTTTTGATTTTATTAATAGTTAATACTATTGCCACATGGTAAAATACTATTAAACACTATTAAAGCACTATTAGAATGACATTATAGTACCATTTTGCTATTATTTATGGGTTTAGAGTTTACAGCTTTGGGGCTTTTTCGGTGAGGCTCTGAAGGGTGAAGGTTGAGGGTTTAGTATAGGGCTTCTCTTAACTCTGCAGTTCGACTCTGCAAGAAAGGTGTGGGCTTCATGGTTTAGTCACATTGAGCGTTGTTCATCAATAACGACCCTTAACCCTAACATAGCTTTTACATGACACTCCTCAGCCTTAATGTCCTGCATCCGCACTTCGTTCTATTACTACCTACATGTTCAGGGTTTAGGGTCTAATCACGGCTCCATTTGCACCCAGGCACTGCAGCAGATTACCATGGAAGTATGGCCGCTGTTTCAGATACCGTACGATCGCCATAGATAGCCGGGGCTCAAAGGCACCCGAAACATTAATTCGCCCTTAAGCCGTGATAGGAGCTTCCCCAAAGCCCTACACCGAAAACTCTAAACCCTAGATGTTGAAGCCTAAACCCTACAACCCGCAGGTTGCCCACCTCGCTAGCCCAGTCCGCAATGCTCTTGAGGTGCACCTGACAGGACGTATGCAGGTTTAGGGTTTAGGCTATGGGGTTGGTGGCGTCAATAGCGACCCGAGGCCCTGCAATGCAAACAGCACCCTAAGACCCAACCCTAAGCCCTAAACCCCAAACTCACAAAAGACCTGCGTTCCAAAGTCCAGAACCCGGAAAAGATGGTACATGCTATACGTGGCGTAGATAGGATCGGGCACTGTTTGAAGGGTCCGCCAAGGTGTTCGGATTTCAAACACCAGGGCTCGAAATGCCTTGAAACTCATACAACACGCTCAAGAACCGGAGAGATCCTCTTTAAAGGATTCCACAAGGGTTAGGCTTAGGGATTGGGGCTTTAAGGTTTACGAAGTTTACGGTGCAGGGTTTGGGGTTTACAAATCGAGACTAAGATTGAAGCAACGCGGTGCCTCCCCGGTGAAAATTCTTGAGAGTGGCTCTGGGACCAATTCGACCGGCACGGCAGTGCCTGGCAGCACCGGGCTGAGTTTGGGTATGGGTTTAAACAAGAAGGTGATAATTTAGGATTCAAAGTATAGGGTGACATACTTGTTTGTTGTGCAAATGTAGACACGAGGCTGTAGGTCAGAGGTTGTAACCTACTATAGTGTAGCATTTTCTGTTGCACCGTAAACGATATTCCAAAGCATCACGGGGTTCGGGGTTTAAGTCTTAAACCCTGAAAATCACTGAAACCG